GGGATTAATTATAGTCCGCAGAAACAGCCTTAAATACTTCACAGGGGAGAAGAGGAAAGGGAAGAAGAAAAAACTAGTATAAAAGTCCAGCAGTTTAGGGAAGAGATATTCGGTAAACAGTTAAACGAAGACCCTCAAGACGGTAATATACGTGCACAATGAGGGCCCCAAAATATCAAGGAAAAGTAAGACTCAATCTAGTCTATTGATCAAGGCATGGATATGTACAACAGTTCTCAGAACGTTTTCCAAGGAAAAATAATGAGGCAAAAAGAAAAACTAAAATGTTTTGGCATTTAAACAAATTCAGCTTCATTTAGCTGTAATTTTTACCTAAACCAATTTATCTCATTTCCTGACCATGCCAGATGGAGCGGTGTTTCTACATTAACATACCAAAAGAAACAAGCCAGGAGTGTTCCCCCAAGAAGTGTGGGAGTCTATACTTTAACTTACTGGGTTGAAGCTGACTTGAAACATCCATATAAATAAGAGAGATTGAACATTCATAGCAGCACTGTCTACAATAGCCAAGCCATGGAAGCAACCTAAATATCCATCGACAGATAACTGGATAAAGAAGTTGTGGTATATTTATACAATGGAATACTACTCAGCCATAAAAAAGAATAAAATAATGCCATTTGCAGCAACATGGATGGACCTAGAGATTGTCATTCTAAGTGAAGTAAGCCAGAAAAGAGAAAGAAAAATACCATATGATATCACTCATATGTGGAATGAAAAAGAATAAGAATAAGAATAAGAAAAGGACACTAATGAACTCATCTATAAAACAGAAACAGACTTGCAGACATAGTAAATAATCTTATGGTTACCGGGGGAAAGGGGATGGGAAGGGATAAATTTGCAAGTTTGAGATTTGCAAATGTTAGGCACTATATATAAAAATAGATTAAACAAAAAACAAAACAAGTTTCTTCTGTATAGCACAGAGAACTATATCTTGTAATAATCTTTAATGAAAAAGAATATGAAAATGAATATATGTATGTATGTGCATGACTGGGACATTGTGCTGGACACCAGAAATCGACACATTGTAACTGACTGTATTTCAATAAAAATACAAGAGAGATTGATACATTAAAGAAAATCTTGACACTCAACATTTTAACCTGCCTACTGAGGGTGTTCAGCGGGGGGAGGCACGCACCTTGGGGGTCTGCATTCAAGAGCTGCAGGTTGATATATTGACAGAGAAGAGCACTAGGACTGTCGATCACAGCGGGAGTTGATCCTCCGGTCACACAAAGTGTTTTTCCATTCAGACTCAGTAAGTTGGTTTGGTTCTTTATTTCTAACAATGACAACAGAAACAACAAAAAAATCATTCTTAGGCGCGGTTGTGCGCGGGGCTGCCAAAATGTCCTCCAAGTACGAGCCGTCGCGCCTAGCCACTCAACCCGCTACCCTCGACCCAGCTGAATACGACGTATCTCCGGAAGCCCGGAAGGCACAAGGCGAGCGGTTGGCCATAAGATCCCGGCTTAAACGAGAGTACCTACTTCAGTACAACGACCCCAGCCGCCGAGGGGTCATCGAAGATCCTGCCTTGATTCGCTGGACCTACGCAAGATCATCAAATATCTATCCCAATTTCAAACCCACTCCCAAGACCTCACTGTTAGGAGCTCTATTTGGAATTGGGCCCCTCTTCTTCTGGTTTTATGTTTTCAAAACTGACAGAGATAAGAAAAAGAAGCTTATCCAGGAAGGAAAATTGGATCGAACATTTAACATCTCATATTAAGTCTGGCAATGATGATTATATATACTATTGTTTAAATAAATCTGTTAATCATTAAATAAAAAAAACAAAAAATCATTCTTTCAGGGGGAATAGTTCAGTGCTGAAGTCATTCACTTTCTCCTATTTAATTACTAAACTATCATGTATCTTTCCAGTGAAACTTTCCACTTAATTTCTGTTTACCAAAGGACACTGCCTTTCCTATAAAGTCAGACTTTAATGACATGCAAATAGTAGGAAATCTTAATGTTGCAAAATAGCATAATATTCATAACTTAAAACATAAGGCAAATTGTTTTTTCCCCCTTTTAGTATGTTTTTCTGCGTATTATAGCTCCTCTTAAAATTTCCTCCTGTATCAGAATCCTAAACTCTATCATGAAAACAAGCCTTATATTAAAAAAAGTTAATTATGGTCAGAAGACAAATTATTTGACTAATGAACATACGTAGAAAAATAGACACACAGAACACACATTTCATTTATATACAATTAAACATTGCTTAGGGTAGAAGTTCAGCTACAGCCACTGTGCCACTAAGGTCAACGTGGGGCCCAGGTGCTGCTCAGCTTTCCCAGGCTGCTGCTCGCTGGGTCAGAGGGGACAGCACGAAGCCCACACTCCTCCAGTGCTGTTCCAACTTTCGAGCCAGGTGCATGAGTGACCCTCTGGCAAAGCTCCCTCTGCAGGTCCCCTGACAGGCGGTGTTAGATGTGGCTACACAGACGTGAGCTCCAGTCTGTCCTTGCTTCTCATCCTACGGTGACTTCAGATAGAGACCCAAGCTGTCCCCTGACCTACTTGCCAGCTCCCCTTGGCGGATCCTGGTCAGAGGTTTTCCCCAGATCCTCCAGTGAACCACCCTTCTTCCAGACCTTTATTTCCTCAGTTTCTCCCACATCATGTTTGCTTCCCTTATCCAGCCCTTAACTGATACGTGGAACAGTAAAGGTTTTCCACGGTGCTTCTCACAACTTACAACCCAGCAGCTGAATGACAGTTCCTAGTACACAGTATCCCTGACAACACTGGATACTGTGAAATTTTCTAGCTTTTGCCAGTCTGGTTGCACGTAATAGTACCTCATGGTGGTTTTTACCATTGAGGTTCAGCAGTTTTCCCTTTATTTTTTGGCCATTTAGATTTCTTCTTTTAAGCTATTTGTAAGTTTCTGAAAATTGTATTAGTTTCCTACAGCTGCTGTAAGAATCACAATCTAGGGATTGGTGAGCGGGATGGCTTCAAACAACAAAAATTGGTCTCACAGTTCTCTGGAGGTGAGAAGTTCAAAATCAAGGTGTCAGCAGGGCCATGTTCCCTCTGAGGCCTGTACAGGAGTTCTTCCTTCCCTCTTCCCAGCTTCTAAAGGCTCCAGCAACCTTTGGTATCTCTTGGCTTGCAGGTTTGCCTAATTCTAACCTCTGCCTTTGTCCCCATAGCCTTCTCCCTGTATGTTTCCGTCTCCACATGGCCCTCTTCTTATAAGGACACCAGTGAGCCCCATTCCAGTATTACTTTATTTTAACTAATTACATCTGCAATGACCCTATTTCCAAAGAAGGTCACATTCTTTGAATAAGGATAAGGACTTCAATGTATCTTTTTTGGGGAAGGAGTCGGGGATTGGGTGGTGATGTCACAATTCAACCCATGACAGTGGGAGGAAATGTACTTACAATTCTTTACAATTTTATTTAGGCTTGTCTTATTGAGAATCTGGATTTAGCAAGATGCAGGCACTATGTTTAATAAAGTTAAAACTCACCGGGAAGTCTCTGAAGCCTAGAGTGTATCACATGGCTGACAGGTAAGAGGGTAGCATTAGAACCTTCATCTAGTAAGTCCAGGGTTCTGTCAGCCACAGTACACAAAGGAGGCACAGAGAGACACCCTGCAGGCAGGCACTGCTGGAGAGGCTGGCCCTTGACTCACAGAGTCGGGATCAAGGCCGAGGTTATGCAGCATGACGGCTATCAAAGCAAGACCTTCACTGATATACCTCGTGTCAAAGCATATGGGTATCTTTTGACTTTCCACACACCTGTTTCACCATGGAAGACAGCCAGCTCTGTGTTTTTTACATCAAAAATGCTAGTAACAACATTCTTCAGCTTTAAAAGGTCCAACCTATTATCGCCTTTTGGATTTTCCAGAAGCAATACTCCACCTAAAAAGCCACAAATATGAATGAAGGAAAAAAAAAAGTTAAATTTGAATGCAAAGGGAAACACATCATCAGTATACTTTCTTTGGTAAATGTCTATTCATGTCTTTTCCCATTTTCTAATTAGATTTTTTAAACTGTTGAGTTTTGAGAGTTCTTTAAGTATTCTAGACACACACTTTGTTGGATATGTGGTTTGGAAAAACTCAGTCTGTAGTTTGGTTTTTCATCCTCTTCACAGGATCTTTTGCAAAGCAGAATTTAAAATTTTGATGAAGTTCAATTTATCAATTTTTCCTTTTATGAACGGAGCTTTTGGTATCAAGCCTTAAAAACTCTTTGCCTAGTCCTGAATTCTAAAAATTTGCTCCTTCCCCTAAAGTACATAACATTTCCTAGAAGCCACGAAGCGGCTTTATGTTTGACCATTGTTATACTTAATATACACAGCTACTATTGTCTATTTACAGAGATAATTAAAACTAATTATATTTGGGGAAGTCTCTGTAAACCTATCAAAACTGGGGAATTTATCATCCAGCAGTCCATTAGTTTGATATTCTGCCATCAAAATTTTTAAGGTGCAATTTTCAGAAGAATGTATTTTGTATTTTTAGTGTTAATAATAGTGAATTTTCTTGTAGTCGCTGCAAGTGCAAGATTATTTCTTCATAATTTAGTACCCTTTAATAAACACATTAATATTTATCAAAAAAATAAATAAAAATTTGCTCTTTTTTCCTAAGTGTTTTATAGTTTTATACTTAAGTTTGTGATCCATTTTAAGTTAATTTTTGTATAAGGTTTAAGACTTCGATCTAGGACTTCTTTTTTTGCATATAGGTATCTAATTGTCTAGTACCATATAATGAAAATACTCAATTGAATTGCTTTTGCTCCTTCTTCGAAAATCATTAGGCCACATTTTGTGGTCTGTTGTGAGTCTATTTTTGTGTTCTCTAAGCTGTGACACCGATTTATGTGTCTGTTCTGTGACCATGCCACACAAGTCTTTGGATAAGTCTTGAAGTTGGGGAGAGTGATTTCTCCCACTATATTCTTATTTTTCAAGTGTTTGGCTATTTTTATTTCTACTTTCTTTTGAGGTAATTCTGTCTGTATCTGTAACAAAATATTGCTGAAGATTTAACAGGAATTGAGTTAAACGTGTATTAATTTGGGGAGAACTGACATGTTCACTATACTGAATTTTCTAATCCATGAATATGGCATATCTCTCCATTTATTTTGATCTTTGGTTTTTTTCATCAGTATTTTGTAGTTTTTGGCATAAAAGTCCTGTATATGTTTTATTAAATTTATACCTAAGTATCTCTTTTTTGAGCAACTGTAAATGGTATTATACTTTAAATTTCATTCCCCACATATTTACTGGTAGAATACGGTAAATACTGATGTTTATATGTTTATCTTATACCCTGTGAATCTGTTTTTTCTTTTTCTCTTTATAAGCAATATGACTTTTTTAAAAAAAGTGATGATTTTATTCAATTACTCTGGAAACAAATCCTCCCAATTAAAGCCGAAACCCAAACAGTATTATAAAACTAGCCAAAATACTTAAAAATAAGAAATTAAAGACCAATCATAATTTTCCTCCTTACATGAGTGCTTTCAGCCAAACAGTAAAGTACAAACCATACCACATCATGCTGACACAGACGATAAACTGTGCTTACATTTGTAACTATTCCCGGGAAGATAATCTTGTTGGAGTAGTGGGTTCCTCTTCCTAGTTGCTGGGTCAGGTGGCCCAGGAAGAGGCAGTACTGAAGTCAGCAGATGGGGGAGCTAGGTCCCACCTGTTTTTGTCACTGCTCATTTTGCTGGCCCCTGTGACTAAAGCTGACACAAAGTCCTGGCCTTGGTGACGCTGCTTATGCACATGCACTGCTCCTGTGCCTAACTCCTTCCACAGGAGCACCTGTTGTGACCTGGACAGACACAATGTTGGCAATGATGGACCAGCTCACATGCCACACATCACTGTGTGGCCGTTGCGAGGACCATACGGTGCCTGAAGCATCATCACAGGTCCAAACGGACACCCGAACACTCTGGGAACAGCTGGTGATAGTGCTGGTGAGCAAACCAACGGAAGGGTCCCCAGGACACACCTCAATCTGTAGACGCCTTAGAATTTTCTATGCAGACAATCATGTCATCTTCATACACAAACAATTTTATTGCTTCCTTTCTGATCTGTATGCCTTTTCTTTTTGTTTCTTTTCTTTTCCTGCCTCATTCCACTGGCAAGTACTTCTAGTACAATGCTGAGTGAGAGTAGTGAGAACGGTGTCCTTGCCTTGGTCCTAGTCTTAGGTAGAAAACATTCAATCTCTTCTAGTCAAGTATAGTATTAACTGTAGGTTTTTCAATAGATGCTCATTATCAAGTTGTTGAAATTCCTCTAATTTTCTTAGTTTTTTTTTAATCATGAATGGATACTGAATTTTGTCAAATGCTTTTTCTGTAACAATTAGTATAATCTTCTACTCTATTAACCTGTTAATGTGATAGATTAAACTGACTGGTTTTGGATACTGAACTAGCCTTGTAACTGTGGAATAAACCTCACCTGTCACAATGCATAACTGTATATATAACTATTTTCTACTTAATTTTTTGGCAAGAATTTTACATTTATATTCAGAAGAGATATTGGTTTGTAGTTTTCTTTTTTTTACTTTTTGTATCTGGTTTTGGTGTCGATACTACCTTAATAAAGTGAGTTGGGGAGTGCTCCTGTGCTATTTTCTGGAAGAATCTGTGTAGAACTGGTGTTTATTTTTTTAAAGTCTGTTGAATTCTCTAGCAACACTATTTGGATCTGGAAATTTCATGAGAGTTTCATTTCTTTTTAATTGAAGCATAGTTAATTTCATTTTTTAACTGCCATCTCTTTTACTTGTTTCCTCAGTCTCTTTTCCTCCCTTTCCCAAGACAAACTTATCATGAACATTGCTTCTCAAGTCTATGTTTTCAAATTTCATAATTCTATATATTTATTCAATAAACAATGCATGGCGATGGATTTTGTTTCTAAAATTTATGTGAATGATACCCTATTATAGATATAATTATGAAACTTGCTTTCTTTGTTAAAATGTTTGAGATATAGAACAAGTTATAGAGATACATTTTCATTACTTTTAACTGGTATGTGGTATCCACTTTGTGAATGTATTTAAATCCCTTTTTGGACATTTTTATTGTGCAACACCATCAGTAACAGCTGTGATAGTCTTAGACTCAACCAATCAAATTTTGAGAGTTTTAAAATTATGAATTCAATCTCCTTAACAGCGACAGGGCTACTGAAACTATTTCATGTGAGTGAGTCAGAGGTAGTTTGTGCTTTTTGAGAAACTGGCTTATTTCATTCAAATTGTCAAATTTCTGTGTAGAGAGCTGTTCATAGCACTTATCTTTTTGATCAGTCTGTACTGGTGTCCTGTTTCATTCTTGATATTGGTAATTAGTGTTTTCTTTCGTTCTGTATCAGTCTCACTAGAGGTCTGTTGGTTTTATTAATTTTTTCAAAGAACCACATTTTTTTGTTTCATTATCTTCTTCATTGCTCTCTTGTTATCAAATGCACTGACTTCTGCTCTTATTTTTTATTTTATCTTTCTTTCTGCTTGCTTAATTTTTTTTTAGTTTCTTGAGGTTGGAACTTAGATTATTTGAAACTATCCTTTTTTTCTGTTAGTTTTCAGAGATACAAACTAGCTGTAATCTACATATTTTGATGCTGTATTTTCTGTTTTAATTTGGTTTTATGCATTTTTTTTCCTGGACACTTTTTCCCTGATCATGAACTACTTAGGAAGTTTGTTCTTTAGTTTTCAAATGTATGGGAATTTCGCTTTTATCTTTCTGTTACTGAATTATAGTTTGACTCTACTGTGGTCAGAGAACACACCCTATATGATTTCAACTCTTTAATTTGCTGAGGTCTGTTTTATGGTCCAGGCTATAACCTATCTTGGTAAATGGACCTTGAATAAAATGTGTAGTCTTCTCCTGCTGGGTGGGGTGTTCCATAAATACTGATTAGATTCTGATACTCTGTCTAGCTCTTCTGTCAATTGTTGAAAGAGGTAAACTCAACACTCAAACTGTAACTATGGATTTTTCTGTTCTTGTTTAAGGTCTATCAGTTTTTGTTTTATGTTATCTAGGATCAAGTTTTCCTTTGGACTGACATTTGTATCATTATTTAATACCACTGGTAATTTTCTTTGCTATGAAGTTTACTTTACTGAAATGAACACAGACACCCCTGCTTTCTTTGACTAATGTTTGCACACTAGATCCTCTTCTAGCCTTTTACTTTCAACCTATCTATTTGGTTATATTTAGGGCTCCTCTTATGTACAGCAAAAAGCTGGGTAATGTGTTTTTATCACTCTGCAAACCTGTGTTAATTGATATATTTAGACCATTTACATTTAGTAATAATTAATGTTTAAGTCTTCCATTTTATTTTCTGCTTTCTATTTGTTTTTTCCCCATACTTTCTGTGGATTCCTTGAACATATTTTAGAATCTTATTTTTATTTGTTTAGTGTTTCTGGATGTATCTCTTGGTGTAGTCTTTTTCAGTGGCTGCACCAGGTGGTACACTGTATATACACAACTACTAGTCCACCAGTGTTGACATTTTTTCAGTTTGAGAGAAGTGCAGAATTTTTACCTCCCCTTTACATTCCTTTGCTCTTTCCTATTTATAATTGTCTTAAATATTCTTTGCATGTGAATTAAGATGTTAGTTTTTGTTGCAGCCATCAAACATAATTTAGAAAATTGAAGAAAAGTCTGTTGAATTTACCCATATTTTGCTTCTTCCCATTGTTCTTTCTGTTGTTCTGATATCCCTAGAGTTCCTCTTTTTATCATTTCTTTCTGTTTTAAGAATTTCCTTTAGCTATTCTTTTAGGATAAGCCTTGCTACTAACAAATTCTTTTAGTTTACCTTCATTTGAGAATGTCTTGATTTTCTCTTCACCCAGAAAGAAATTTTTGCTTGATACAAACTTCTGGGTAGATGGTAATCATCTTTTAGCATTTGAGAAATACTATCCTTTTTATCTTTTGACCTCCATGGTTTTTGATAAGAAATTCAGTATCAATCAAATTGTTTCTCCCTTACAGGTTAGGTGTTGCAAACATTTCTCTCACTGCTTTCAAGATGTTTTGTCTTACATTTTCAGAAGTTCTAGTATGTTATATGTGATGTGCATTCTTTTGGGTTTATCTTGTATGATGTTTTCTCAG